GTGTTTGCTCACAAACAAAAGTGATGAAACTGAATAATGTAAATGGCAGCTGGTGTCGGGGATGGCCAATTAGTGCTGTATTTAAAATTTTTACAGCAGTCATGCAATGAAGAATGAACTCTCTCCTCTGTCCAATTTTTTTTGCAAATGCATTGTAAGTTTGTTCACTGCAAGTATGTTTTTTTGGCGAATCTCCAGGAGGGGCTGGGGGGGTGGGATATGGACACTGGTTACAGCTCTCCTCGTAGCTCCCTCTGGAGTGTCCCTCTGGAGTCTAAGGGCATTTTCATGCTTTTTGCATATTTTAAATTTGCCTTTAAAGGCACTTGTATATAGTCCGATACTCATATGTTTCATACCAAAATGCTCTGTTATCTTCATCACTACTTTCCAAAACTGCTGCAGCAACTTCAGCAGCTGCAAACTCTTTGTATGCCATTTTATGTGTCTCCAATGTTGACTGAATGAAGAATGAAGGGTTTCCGATGTGATGGGTCAGTGCTTAGTGATTTCCTGACTGTCCATTGGTCAGTTTCACAGAAAATGTGGACAGACACAAATTCACCAAATACACACAAAGAGACTGGCGATGATGTATCTCAAAGCCTTTTCATTGCCTCATAAGTCCGGCTGTGAGTCATATATGATGAAGCAATAAGATGGAATGGAAAGGGCGACTCTACAGATTCAGGAAATGTTTGAGTCGTATTTCTGCTCTGTATTATCGCAAAAATAGAGAAACATATATACAGGCAATGATTTGATGTATGGGTGAGTTTGTAGACCCCAGAAGGTTAATATGCATGTGTTCATCCTCAAAGCTTGATGTGTGTTTTTCATGTCTGTGATAATCAAACTCAGTGCCTTGAGCTTGATGCATGTTCACTGGTCAAGCAAACAAATGATGCAACATTCTAAAAAACTTTTTTAGAGTTCACACAGATCAAACTGCCTTTTAAAATATTCTAAAAGTTGTCTCTTGAGTGTGAACTGTGCTATTAAGGTCAGACAAAAGAAGTGCTCTGTGATTCCAGAGGAGGTTTGGCTGTTGCCCATTACCCACCCCAGCTGTCAGTCTCTCTGTGTGTGGAGACTGCTGAACAGGTGTTAGAAACCCAGCCATGCTGAGGTGCCACTGTGATGCAGCCCAGCAGTAAAGCTAATGAGAAGCTCTGTGAATCATGCTAATGGATTACATGTGCTATGGGGCTCTCCTCAAATAATATCTCAATGTCTCAATCTGCTTATAACGTCTTGCAAAATCGGTATTGACTGTCTGTCATAACCACAAATGCACAGCATATCAATTAGTCTAATGTTAATTCACTGCATTAAAGACAGATATACATTCCTAACACATAATAGCTTTCCTAAACAGAGATCAAGACCAGCCTTTGTTGTAGCTCTGTATGTATTTATATACGTTAATGCAATACATAATTAACACCACTCATTTTCTAATGCATCTTCCTAGGTTGACCATTCAAAACAGGAAAACAGTGATGAAAACTGCAGTTCATGGAACGAAACCCACCAACATGACGGAGTTGAAGCTGTTTTGTACAGGGGAATGGGCTAAAATTACACCAAGCCGATGTGCAGGACTAATAAACAGTTACCGGAAACGTTTGGTTGCAGTCATTGCTGCACAGTATCTGGGGCCACACCAGATACTGAAAGCAAAGGTTCACATACTTTTGCCACTCACAGATATGTAATACTGGATCATTTTATTTTATTGATATAAATGACTAAGTCAAATATTGTTGTCTCATTTGTTTAATTCCGTTCTCTTGTCTAGTATTAGAAGTTGTGTGAAAAGTTTAAGTCAAATTTATGCAGAAATATAGAAATTTCTAAAGGGTTCAGAAACTTTCAAGCACCACTGTATATATATGTATGTGTGTATATATATATATATATTATATTATATATATATATATATATATATATATATTAATCATACTTTGTCCACTCATATAACGAAAATTACAGATGCCTGGCTTAGTAGACATAGCTTACGTAACAAACTTGTCCTAAAAAAATTAAGTGTTAAGTAGACATAATTCCTGTTTAAGTAGGACAAAGACCAGTTTTGGTGAGTATCCCCAAATATGTTTTATAATTGCCTGCTATAGTATGTTCATGTTAGCTGGTGAGTATGATCTTTTAGCTCTGATAACTTCTGGTTAAAGGTCTGTATATATGTGCATGTCATCACTTCCTGTTTCTAATTTCTGGAAATTTCATATATTTAGTGCTTTTTTTGAATGCCTGTTCAAACAGGCTGGTTGTGATGGGGGTCAGCTGATCTTCTGCCGTTTATCTCTAGATTGATGTGATATGCTTGATGCCGAACAAATAATCTGGCTTGTGAGCTCACTTACAGATTAGCATCTTGAAGGTTCTAGCTATTGTGTGCATCATTAGAATGAATGATCTTGCTGGAATAATGGCTACAGAAACAATTAAGGTTGCAACATGAGAAACATTGATTTCATCAGCTAATTTGTAGATGACCACATGCAAAAAAGCAGTGGGAGTGACCCAGCGTGAACAGGGCAAGGCAGCAAAGTCCGGGGCCACTGTGTTGGGGTGATAGTTAACATTCATTTGGTCTTCAATCAAAACAGACTAGGTAAAGATAAAGAAGGCAAACTGTGAGTAATGAAAGAACCAGACGGTAAATGAACCAAAGTAAAACCTCACCTAAGAACACATTACAAACTGAAAGAAATAAAAAGTGTGTTGATATAAAACTTTAGCCTGGACAAGCCATAGCACACCTCCTCCTGCTGACTGCTTCATGTGAACCAGCCATAATGATAACAGAATTCTTGAGGGATGCCTTTGTGCTGTGCTAATCTGACACTAATTCTGTCAATCTGGATGTGTGATGAACACCTAAGTGAAAGAATTACAGCCGACTGTAGCTTCTTTTCTGGCTAATGAAAATCTGAAGCAAGACCTGAGGTGCTGTGTGGATTGGGATGCCTGCAATATCGACTCCTCGGGCAACAAGATTCTTCTGTAATCAACCGAGCGAATATGCTAATTGAATGGAGACACTGTTGTTTGCCTGGCGTATGATTTATGATTTAATATCTGATCCTCTCTAATTAGTAGCATTCTCAGGGGACAGCCTTTGTGCTTACAAAATCACCAAGACAACATCTGGAGGAGGTCACAGGGGTTTACCATGCTTTTCTGAAAGCTATAGCTGCAACAACAGTTATGAGGACTGTGTTCTTGTGTGATTTGTGGGCACACACTCACTGTCCACTTTACTAGAAACACCTACTTTGCACTTGCGCTCCCTTTGAGTAAGTGGACACCTGACGATCATCACCAGTATGAACTTGTTGGACATCCCATTCTGAAACCATGGGCATTAATATGGAGTCCACAAGATTTTGGAGTGTGTCTGTGGAAATTTGTGTCCATTCAGTCAAACAGCATTTGTTAGGACAGGCACTGATGTTGGACGAAAAGGCCTGACTCGCAATTTATATTGCAATTCATCCCGAAGGTATGCAGTGGGGGTGGGGCCAGGGCTCTGTGTAGGCCACTGGAGTTCCTTCACATCAAACTCCTCAAACCATGCCTTTATGGACCTCACTTTGTCCACAGAGGCACAGTCATGCTGGAACAGGAAGGGGCCTTCCCCAAACTTTTCCCAAACTGCATGTCTATAAAGTCTTTGTATGCTGTAGCATGAACATTACCTTTCACTGGAACTAAGGGGCGCAAACCCTGAAAACAGCCCCAGCCCATTATCCCTCCTCCACCAAACTTTACTGTTGGCACTATGCATTCCGGTGGGTAGCTTTCTTCTGGCATCCGCCAAACCCAGATTCGCCTATGCAAAAGCCAGATGGTGTGATTCTTCACTCTGGAGAACACGTTGCCACTACTCCACAGTCCAATGGCGGCGTGCTTTCCACCACTCCAGCTGACACTTGGCACTTTGTATAGTGATCATGGGCTTGCATGCAGCTACTCTGCCGTGGAAACCCATTTCATGAAGCTCTCAAAGCAGTGTGGAACTCAGTAGTGAGTGATGCAACAGAAAGGTAAGTCATTTTTTGCTACATGCTTTAGCACTTGGTGGCCCCGGCTCTGTGAGTTTGCACGGTCTACAACTTCGTGGCTGAGCTGTCGTTACTCCTAGACACTTCCAGTTCACACAATAGCACTTGCAGTTGACCAGGGCAGATCTAGCAATGCAAACATTTCATAAACTGCCAACTAGTGGCAAAGTTGGCATTCTATGATAGTGCCACTTTAAAAGTCATGAGTTCGTCAGTATGACTCATTCTACTGCCAGTGTCTGTCTAAAGAGCTATGCGCTTCATTTTATACACCTGTAAGCAAAGAATGTGGCTGAAACAGCTCAATTAAAAAATTAGGATGGGCGTCCACTCCTAACAATAACACTGACACAACATCATCGACAGAAGCCTTGGTCTCACCAGAAAGAAACAGAACTGTCATGTGGATTAAGATGGCAATACATTTTGATATCATGATAGGCTAAACAATAGGCTTAATACACATTAAAAATCATAATAAATAAATAATATATTATTGATACTATTTTTACACCCAGAATATTGCAATATTATACTGTATTTATTTTCCCCCACACTTATAAGAAACCCTGTTTAAGATTAGTTAACAACTCTATATGATTTGAGTGTGGGATCATTTAAAAACGCTATGCGTACAATGCTAATTGGTGGGGTGTACGCTTTTATTACTTGATAGCTACATCAGCTCAGTGTGTAGCTAATGAAGCAAACTTCAGACACCAAACATGTTTTGGCTGATCGATTACATTTGCAGTAACCGGGAAAACTGTGTTGTCATATTATTATAAGTTTACAGAACACAGATAATCAACAGCTTATTTAAAGCTCTAATTGTACAAACAGGAATTCATGGAAGCAAATTTGTACAAGAAATAATGAGATATTTTGCAAATGCCCTTCCAAGCTCACCTCCCAGCAGGGCTGTTCTCTCCACTGCCCCAGCAGCTCTCAGTCTTGGCCCGAGGGACAGGAGGCTGCAGCATCTCTGCCGCCAGGGGGTCCGAGTCATCCTCATCACGTCCAACCCACTCCCCGACCACACGAGGCCTCAGCACAGAGTTATAGACTCGCGGATCCTGGGAGAGCGCCATCCACAGATCACAGGAGCAAATAAAAAAAAGAAGACAGAGTCAGAAGGAAATGATCGTGAATTACGGGAGATTATTTGAAAGTTATGTTTAAAGCTCTTTATCTGGGTAGAAAGCATTTATTTGAGGGATATCTAACCGCAGCCCTATGGATCGAGTCCCAGAAAGGTAAAGACTCAACATGAGCGGAAGCTAGCAAGATATAGCTAACACATACAGCTTAATGTCATGTTAAATTGTGTGAGCAAAATTAACTGTTTTATAGAAGACGCCCTGTAGCTAAATGCATATTTAATGTATATAAAATGACATAAGGCTGATTACTGAAAACCACTTTGTCAGTGTGTGCTAGTTAGCTAACTAGCTAAATGTCTAACCCTAACTTTAAGTGAGCAGTTCGGAGAAAAGACCCCAGATGCAGTTGATCAGATATATTTTATGCTTCTTTAGCTTAGCACTGAAGCCATGACGCTAACATTGCTAACAAACACGCATCCAGGCCTTCATTAAGGTCTTGCAGACTTGTCGATGTGGTTCAGGACACAGTATGAGATTCTGTGAGCTATAAAATTGAACAAACCTTCACTGAGTAGCTGATACTGTGTCCTAAACTACATCAACAAGCCTGCATGACCCTTAATGAAGTTCAGTGTGAGCAGGTTGAGAAAAGACTGGGGTTGTTTTTATGGGAAAGGTGTGTGTGACAATTGACTTGTGTTTGTTAGCAATGTTAGCATTGTAGCTCCAGTGCTAAAGCAAAGGAAGCAAACTTTGGACACTAAATATGTCGACTACAGGTGGGGAAAGTGGATAAACGTGTACATTTAACTGTTCTCCAGGCTATTCTTTTAATTTCTTTAAATGACCCCTTTGAGGAGTTTATATCTCACCAAACAGGAACATGTTCCTCTTAGCTTTACGCTTCACTTCGTCAGTCTGCGAGGCTGCAGTTACTTATTACTGGTTTATTTGCTCAGAAAAGCATTAACAAAATATATATGAAAAGTTTAATTCGCTAAACAGTGATTTTGTGTCAGAGTATTAGCTTAAAAATGTTCAAACCTGTCCTCAATACAAGTCCAGCATTTCGCTAGGATCCAATAGCTGTTTGGGCTACTCCTTGTCTACATTAAATTAGTTATGCTGCTAGCGGAACTGAACATATCCATGCAATGGCTGGAGCTGCATCCAGATGAAGAAATTCCTCTATTAATATTAATTAGCATTTAGTGTAATGTTATATTGTGTTTTTACAAGGTTAAACACTTGCTATTCCCCGATAAATAGTTTTAAACAATGTTCTGAGGTGGCTTTAAAAAAAATACTGACACAAATTCAGACACATTTAAAATACATAATACCATCTTGGCACATTTCACTCTTTATGCCACTAGTTTAAACAAACTCTGATATTCCCTCAAAATCATGCCTTTGGTCATGTCTACGTAACTACACATATTTCCAGAGATAAACATGGAACAGGCTTCCTTCTTTACCAGCCGCCGAAATGAACTGAATGACAATCCATTTGCTTCAAAAGCTAAATTCTTTCGTATTCACCGCAGACTGGGCACCCAGCCCAGTTGGCTCGGAGCTATCTTACAGAAGTCTCCGCCGCATTCAGGGACACACGCAGGCTGATTTAAAACCCTGATCTGCACTACAGCAGACACGCTGCGCTCATAAAGATTCGGCGCATGGTTCCCCAAAGCCAAAATAACACAATGCTCATCTTAAGATGGTAATACAACTATGACTTTGAGCACTCCTCTCTCCTAACATCTACAATTCATTTCAGAAACAGGGCCTTGATCACTTATGATGCCTTGGACACTCTTGGAGAATGAAGAAGAAGGATGATGGGATTATGCATGCTTTTAAATATCTGCTTTTTGATTAAATGTTGTTTGGAAATTTAGTAGAAGGAAGAATTACCTGGTCAAGCTCATCAGATAAGGCAATACCTGTAAAGGAGATGCATGTTATTTAGTGGCATTCATGCGGATGTGTATTGAGCTGTATGCACACACATATGCATAGTACCAGTCAAAAGTTTGGACACCTGATCGAGTCGATATTCTTGATAATCTTAAAGACATTTTGATCTAAAGCAGGGCCAAAAATTTGATTTGGCCTGCCAGAAAGTTCCGCCAAATCCAACTTGATGCCTCTGACTTTTCCAATTTTTTTCAGGCTTTTCAGGGTGACTCGCAGCAGCGCACGCAAAATAATCATATTTTACTGTTTTTTTTTACTGACTCAGTTATACCACTTTCTTCGATGTTAACAAAAATATCTTACATAGTGCTACTTTGAATAGAATAGCTGTGTTTCTAAGACAAATGTAAAAAGTGAAATTGGTGCCCATGCATCTGGGTCACTGGGGGAGCTGGAGCCCATCCCAGCAGTAACTGGGTGGAAGGCTATTACTAAAACAAACATTTTTTATTCAAATATGTATTATTTTTCCAATTTCAGGCTGTCAAACGAGTAGTTTTCAGCATGAACTAGTGCTCAGCCTATGCAGAATTTCTTCAAAGCTTCACAAGCTGCACAAAAGTGGAAATGCAAGACAAAGGCGAATGTAACATACAAGATTCATTAGATTTCAATATATGTTTGTATCTTTACTATCATGTTATTATGCTGTACGTGGAAAATAAAGGAGCCTTCCATGAGTATGTTCTTTGTCCAAACCTTAGATTGGTACTGTAGACAAAGGATCTCCACCAATGTGCAAAATTTCTTCATAATTAAACCATTAATATGTAAACAAAGTCATTCAGAGTGATTTAATGTGGAATGCTCCAGTTTACACATCTGCAACCAAAAAGGCATGCACATGTAACTTGCTCCAAGGCAGGTTAAGTGCAGGATTTCAGACCACAAACATCTCTTGGACCAATCAGGGTGAGCTTCTGGCCAATCAGGGATGATGAAGGTGGAGCCCTCCAGTTATTATTATTTTTTTGTGAAATTTGTAATTGCTTTTTAGCAGAGGAAGCAAATCATACTGCATATATATTAAGAATATAATGCACTATTACTAAAATAAGCACTAACCTATGCTTTTTTACTCTTATTAATGCTTTACTTTCTACATATTTAAGTAGATTTCTTTGTACTTCTTTGGAAGAAAACCCACCCAGCTACTCATATTTCAAGCGACTGGCTGAAACAGGATAAACATCACACTTTCTTATGGACCTGCACGAGGATTAATCACAGCCTCAGTATCTACACCTGATTTAACAGAGAAAGTTGTTAACCATTTTTGTAAAAGGCTACCACTAAATATACAAGAGTGCACACAAGAGGAAGGGAGCAAACACACCATCCTAGAAGAGACAATGGCAAGCGAAGAAAAAAAAAAAGACATGGGGAAGACAAAAAAGGAACATCTGGGAATAAATATACACTCTTAAAATGATTTTTCAAGGTTTCTTTATTAAAGAAAATGGTTCTATATAGAACCATGAACACTCAAAGAGCCCTTTGCCTGATTAAAGGGTTCTTCAGATTGTTGGAGAATGTGCTGTAAATGCAATAGCACCAAAAAGGTTTCTGCTATTGTCTAGCTTGTATCAATAGAAGGACCCTTTTTGGTGCTATGTAGAACCCTTTTCAAAAAGGGTCCTTCTATTGATACAAGCTTGACAATAGCAGAAACCTTTTTGGTGCTATATTGAACCCTTTTGGTGCTATATTGAACCAATCTGAAGAACTCTTTCATGATGCAAAGAACCATTTAAACATGCAAAGGGTTCTTTGCATGTTCATGGTTTTATATAGCACCATTTTCTTACCAACAAACCCTTAAAGAACCATCATTTGTAAATGTGTAGGGCATTGCTACAGACAAGACACAGGTAGAGGGGATGGTTTAAGAGTTTGGTTTAAGAGAGTAAAGATTTAGATTAAAACGTCTTTTTAAAATCTGTTCATGGTGGAAAGGAACTTGCAGGGCATTTTTTTCCATTTCACCACAATTTTTATCATTATCTACATTTCATACAAAAACTCAGAAGACACCTGTAGGCTCACTGGCAGTTTTGGTTAGAAAATAAAAGGGCTGTATTTGTGTTGGAGACACCACGACTCCTGATTCTTCTCACCACTACTGTAAAGAAATCTGTAAGTATCTCTACAAGGAACCATTTCACATCAAACCACTCTGAATGACTAGGCTTACATCTCAATGACTGAATTATGCAGAAATTTTGAAAAACTGATGGAAGTTTGTGCTAAAATATCAAGTTCTCATCGACTAAAAAGCTGAAAACTTCAGCTCCATCTCTGAACACTGTATAAAAATGATACTGTTTGGGGCCACTAACTTCGGGACAGGTTCTCCAGCGCTTTGCCCAGCTTCTTGCTCTCCTGCAGGATGTGGTTGAGCTCGTCAAAGTCCCGGCTCTCAGGTTTGCTCCTCCAATCCCAGGAGGGGTGCTCTATTGAACGTGGCACTGCAGAGAAATCAGATAAACAGTTACTTTAAACACATCCACTGCAGAGCTAATTGCATGGTCCAAGTGTCTTTTTAAGGAAGGCTTGAAATCTCCTGAGTAGTTCAACTGACTCTGCAGACCTGGGCTTTATCACCAGAACCCAAGGGTAAATCCTAGCACTGCTATAGCCATCTGTGGCTTGCAGTCGACAAGGTGGGAAGGATGACCTAGTTTTGCTTTGCTTTTTTCATGCAGAGCAATGCTAGCCTGGGACAAAAGGTAGACTGGAGGGACTTAAGGAGTACCCAGGTCGAACCAGGGATGAAGAAAAACCTTTTAGTTCCTAAAAATCTAAGGTTAAGTTCACACTGCAGGTAAAAGTGGCCCAAATCTGATCTTTTGAATGGATTTGTCTGTGCAAAAAAAACACATGCAGCAGCACTGCTGTGTTTGATCCACTCATACCAGCACAACACACACTAACACGCCACCACCACGTCAGTGTCACTGCAGTGCTGAGAATGATCCACCACTCAAATACTTGCTCTGTGGGGGGGTCCTGATCATTAATGATACTACAGTCTGCAATTGTAGAACTTCAAAGTGCTAAAATATGGTAAGTGGAGCTGAGAAAATTGGCAATAAATGAAGATACAAGGTACCTAATAAAGAGCTCAGTGAGCGGATATCACCAAATTCATACCCCTTTGCTTGCATTCTTCTTCACAGCCAGTAAAAGAAAAGAAAGTCAGCTTCCTTTCTCTGTTTGATCAGCTTTTTACTCTTTTCTGTAAGCTTTGTCCTGCATGGTCTTCGTCCAGTGTCTTTTGTATGCCCCCCAAGTTTAAAGTATCAAATTGCACACATTAAAGTTTAATGTCACTTGAAAGGAGTCTTTTAATCTTAAGTAAATGTAGAGGACGGCTGTGTCTGTTGGATGAGCGTTTCAGGTGGATCAGCGCTCTTTTGCTCATGTGGGACAGTTCAGGAGTGTGATCTGTTCAGACTGATACATGCCAGATTAAAAAGATAATGTAAACGAGCAAACAACAAAATCAGATTTAGACAGTAAATTGGATTTGGGCCACTTTTACCTGCAGTCTGAGCGTAGCTTTAAATCAGGGTTGCTGACTCAGGTTTAGATACTGAAGCTAAAATTAATCCCTGTGCACATGCAAGCATGATGTTTATGTCGAACAGCCAATCACATGGAGTGGAGTCGATCTTCTACATAAATATGAAGCATATAAAGCAATTATGAGGACAAAAAAACACACTGCTGAAGCTGCCACGAACAGTGTTCCATTTTGTTGTTACACTTGTTTTATATTCTTTATATTTGCATAGTATTGTAGCATGTTTGAATGTTCTAACTTTTAGGCTTCTGCATTTATTCACTAGGCTAGGAAATGCTCTGGTTTGTGTGGAGGGAGAGGGAGACGTGAGCTGGGTAGCGAATGAGCTGTTAGAGAAAAGAAAACTCTGCTTATGTATGGCATAGCTGTGGCCAACAACAGCTGGAAAATAAAGCACCACCACTTGTGCAAAAGCTGTGTCCTATGTGGTGAACGCTACAGTATGATTTCTTGTCTTCTGCTGTAATTGTCTGTTGTTTATGTGATTGATACTTGACATTTTTACAAAAATAATTGGACCTGACAAAAAACTTTTATTTTGTATGTGAAAACTAACCCTGCCATGTGGAGGCTGCACTTTAGCCTGGGTAGCTCTCACTTGCTGTGTTTACATGCAGATTTTTGCCAATCCGATTGAATACATACCGATTATAGATTAAGACTGAGGTGTTTATTTGCTCACTCTACTCAACAATCTGATGGAAAATCTCCGTTTACACGCTCACTACAAATAATCAGATCCAAAATTACGTGCATACGTAGAGCACCACTTAGTGTAGACGTTACCATGACAACAAGCATCCTGTGAGTCCAGTCAGAGTGAGACAAGCAGCAGTGAGCAGCGCTTGTGTTTTTAATCACTTTAAAATGATGTCAGACTCAGGAAAACGTACTTCACCTGTACTTATTAAAGAAGGGCGAGAGGAAGACGTCATGTTCTTTTAAATTTCAAAGCATAAACTTCGTCTCCTCTGCAGATCAGTTTCTGCTCCCGCCATCTTTAACAATATAAACTACAACGCAAACGCACATGTGCAGAATGTACTTAAACTTTCCGAGTGGGAATGTAATCGGATACAGACGTTTACATTGTTTTTGTTCTTCTATTTAACAGATTATTTACAGGATTACCCACCTCGTTCAATCGGATAAAAAGTGTAGCAATTGGGCTAGTCAGACTAGTCTTTTCTGATTGAGGTGTACACGTGGACGTATTCTATTCCGATTGAGCTATTAGTCAGATTATTAACAGATTATCAGGCTGCAAGTAAGTGTGGCTACTCTGAGTTTTTTATTTGCTTCAAAATGGTGCTCTATTGCAGCCAATAATCTAGATGTGAATTCTCTGATTTATACTGATGACTTAGTAACCCACAACACTTACAATGAAAGTTGAAGTTACTTTTAAGGTACAAAAACAGCCTTCAGGGTGAATCAGGAGAAATGTCTGCCCAGCTGCTGTGGTAATTCGCAGATGATGTTGCTATGGGAATACAAAATGACCAAAAGCATGTTCTACTTCAACCTGTTTATCTACATAAAAGATCTGTGTTACATTTTGTCCTGCTTTAGTTTGTGGCCTACTCTCCCCTATTTTAAGAATGCATTTTTATTTTGCAGAACCACAACTAAAGTCCTCAACATCTGCTGTCCTGATTTGACCTACATGAATGAAATCTTCCTTTAAAATTTCAAAGACACTTTCTTACTCATCACTAGGCATTTTCTTCCTGCCTCACTGAGCACGCGGCTTCAAGGGAAGTCCTTGCGTCTCTCTTTTTTCGGAGTTTGATGTGATTTGGCTCGCGGACCCTGTGATTCAGCGTAATTAAGCAGTGGCAGCGGTCCAGCCTTAATGGCCATCACTCATGCACTCTGCTGGTAAAGTGCCTGCTTTACCTTTCCTGCCTTTACTTTTGGCCCACATGTGTGTCCGAGGGGAATAGAAACCTTAACGTGGGACATCTGTCACAAGCAATATCTCTGAGTGGAACACTTGGAGTGAAAATACACATGCAGCCAGGTTTTGAATAATTCAGAATGTGCAGAAAAGGATGTCAAGCACATGCTAATGCTTTAATTTGCAGACAATCTGTTTCAGGTTCATGTTTTGAGAGATTTCCGAACTTTGCCGGTCTCCCTGCCCAGGTCTTTCACTAACAATGCCCTTAAAACAACCAGTCAGCCATTCCAATTGCTCTAAACGTCACATATCCACTCAGCAACAACGGCAGGCCGGGCTAAGCTGTCAGGAACATCGCAGTCTGCATTTCTCATTGCCTTCCCCACTTACACGGCTTTGGCTTTCAGACAAAAAAGGATATTGGGGGCAGTATCTCAGCTGAATGTCACAACGCCAGGCTTACAAGCCATCTAATGGAAATCCTGCATCATTTACTTCAATGTTCAAACTATGTAGCGTTAAAGCCTGCATGCTAGAGCAGTCATACTGATTAATAATGAACTATACGAGAAGATACAAGAACATATGTGCTGATCTTACATGAGTTTCTGTTAAAGTAGTTGCAGTGGGGGTTTGGAAAGGAAGCTGGGATTCAGTTCTAAAATAAAAGTCCATGAATTATCTGGCTTGACATTTGCTTGACACTAATGCTTTCAGTATAGCATAAGGAAAATTGATTTCTCACACAGTTTCCATGCAGGAGAGACCACTGTCACTTAATTTGCAAAGCTTTTTGGTCCTAGTAATATCTGCAGTGCCACAGTTACCTACCGGAGGTGGAACAGCTCAGAAAGATCTATACAGCAAAAACACTGAGTATCCCAAATGTCCATTTTTAATTTATGAGAACGTTAAAAATTAAAAAGTGCAATATATGAGACTTTAGAATAGCAGAGTGTATGCCTAATGCATTCAGATTGATTTTTAGCAGCATATTACACCAAAAGCTTCATAACACAACAAAAAAAAACATGACGTATCATTTCAATAACAACAGAACTGAATATCTACAGACTACTACACTAGTCACAGACTAATATGCTAGGCACAGACTAATGTGCTAGCCACAAAATAATATGCTAGCCAAAGACTAATATTCTAGCCACAAACTTATATGTTAGCCATAAGCTAGGGTGACCAGACATCCATGTTTTCCAGGGACATTCGCCGTTTTTGATGAGCTGTCCTCGGCTGAAGCTGTCCCCAGGAAATGTCCCCGCCTAAGCCAACTTATTAACTTCTGAGACCCTTTTTACTTAGTGACTTTATTTCTAAAAAGCAATGTGTGACAAGTCTCACGAGGGGCAAAGCAAGACACATACATTTTTTATAGGGCTACTGTAATTTATTCTCATGCATGCTGATCATTTACTTTGCTGAGTGTTCCATAGTTTACCAAAGCTTTCACTCACTATTGTAAGCTGTATGGTTTTCTGATATGGTTTACAAAGTTACTTAATATCCAATTTTAGCAGTTGGCCTTCATAGTTTATTACAGTACAATAGTTACCATGGTCAAAATATCATGAAACTGGACCCCATTTTATTCCATAGATAAAAACATTGGAAACTAATAAGCTAAAAACAAAGTAATATGCTGGCTACAAACGAATATGCTAGTCACAATTAAATAAGTTAGCCACAAACTAATAAGTTAGCTAAAAACTAATATAACAGCCAAAAACTAAAAAGCTAGCTACAAATTAATACGCTAGCCACAAACTTATATGTTACCCACAAACTAAAATGGTAGTAACAAATCCACAAACTAATACACTAGCCACAAACTAATACGTTAGCCACAAACTAATACGTTAGCCACAAACTAATACACTAGCCACAAACTAATACGTTAGCCACAAACTAATACACTAGCCACAAACTAATACGTTAGCCACAAACTAATACGTTAGCCACAA